TCACCTTAAACCAGAAAGAAGTAATCATCAAAAAGTCAAAGAGTAAAAAATGCTGGGGTGGCTGCAGTGAAAAAGGAAACCTTGTACATTGTTGGTGAGGATGGAAACTAGCACAAGTATTATGGAAATCAGTCAGAGGTTTCTAAGAGAAGTAAAACCAGCAATTCCATTTGACCCAATTATTTTCCCTCTAAGTATCCTCTCAAAAGAGCTGAAGACACGATAATATGGTAAAACACTCACACAATTCATAACAGTTAAATCCTAGAAACAGTGTGCATGTCCATCTACAGAAGAAAGAATGAAGAAAATGTAGTAACTCTGCATAATGCAACACTACTTAGCTATAAAGAATGATAAATTCAAGACATCTATAGGAAAAAAGCTATGCCTGGAAAATATAATGTTGTATGTGAGATAAATCAGACAGGAGTCCTTAAGTACCATATGGTATCTCTCTTTTGAGTAAGGCAAAGTGCAAACAAAGAGAAAAATAAGGACAGACAGAAGGAAATAAGGGTAGAGATCTTTTGCAAATTGCAATAGTTCTGGGAGACCAGGAGTGAGGTGAGACAGAGGGGAAGTAAGAAAGTGTAGCATGTGTCCTGTGCAGATCTCAAGTACCCACAGTAAATGCAAAAATTTTCTGTCACAAGCATGACTTAAGAGTAATAATAAGAATGCAAACGAGTAAAGGCATTTGGAGATTGAGAGACTGAGGTGAGCGGAACATGAGAGGGGATTAATAAGGAAGGAAGTGTGTGTGTATAACACACCTCCTCCCAGAAGGAAAGCAAAGTTCATGTGCTGCACACATGAAATAATAAATAAAATTGAAGACAAGAAAAGGAACTCAGCACTACTCTGAGAGAAAGGTAACCCTGCTTGGCAAGGACACCACGTTCACCCTTTGGCTGGGCCACTCTAGAGGCCTGGAAGACTTTGGGGAAATGCGCATTTCCTGGGACTCCATGGACAGACTCCTGGGACAGGGAGTTCAGCAACGCTGGTACAAAAGATCCCTCCTGAGCCCTGTGGACCACATCCAGAGAACTCTCAAGGCTAATTACCCCAGTATCATTTCCAAATGGTAAAAGGCTAGCAGTGACCAATACATGCACACATTCACAGGAATGCCCGTTAAATCAATCCTCGTGCAGTAACAGGACAGACTGTTGGCTACATCCACCCACCATGATACTGAACAGAGACAAAACAGAGTGAGAAATCTTAGATTTATTAAATGGAAAGATCAGGGTGTAAAGCAGGGAGGGGATGAACCAGCTGCTCACTCCCACCTGCTCCATGAGGGGACTCAGGGCCAATCACCCAGCTACACCAAGCTGAAGACCTTCAGGGCCATCACCGGACCTGCCTGCTGGCTAACAAGAGGCTCCTCTTCTCTCTGATGTTTTCTATAGTGAGGACTGAACTCGGTGCCTACTCACTCAGTTCTGTCCCTAGCCCTTCTTTACTGTTTGGGGACAGGGTTACAATAAGGCAAGCAGGGGCCTCAGACGGGCTCCTGTGAGGGATCCTGCTGCTTCAGCCCCACAGGGTCGGGGATTAGACAGGGGGCTGCAGTGAACCAGGACTAATTCTTGTTTAACCAAAGGACTGCTTGGTTTGGACCGAATGGCCTCACGAATGAGGCGGCTGACCAGCTCCTCCTAGGTGAGGACAGGATGTGGCATCCTTGCGTCATCTCAGAACCCCTGGGGATGTTATCAGATGTTGGGCACAGCCAGGAGGGAACCACCTTCTGGTAGGTGAACTCTCACCTTGGCACTGCCTCAGTGTCCTTGTGGGAGCCAGAGCACAAATTCTAGTTATAAAGGTTTGGAGTGTGGTGGCTCACTTCAAGATAACTGAAACACGGTTCATGATTCTGTGGTAATCCGAGATAAATTACCCTGCAGGTGCTTGTAGGAGGAGAGAGGGGAGACAGAGGCCAGCTTTACCCCTGCGTCTCCGGGAGACCAGGGCAGGCCTGCTGACCGAGTGGGTGGGCCAGAGACCTGTGCAGCTGGTCCCCATGGCCCTTCTCAAAGTCTCCTCCCTCCTCCCTCCTCCGCCCTCCCACCGCATGGCTGGGCTCGGGGGCAAAGCACACCCAGAGTGAGCCTGCTCTGAGACATGGGGCCCGCAGGCTGGATTCTTGCTCCAGGACTCCCTTCCCTTGTAAGGTGGAGAAGCAATTAGGTAATCTGTATGAAAATAACATACGCATTTGATCCAGTTATGCAGTTAGTCAGTGCCGTACACTATAAATGTTAGAAAAAGTACAGAAAGGTATTTGCTGAAAGTTAGTAAAGGCAGCGTTATTCTAGTGGGAAAAGGCTGTAAAGGCTCAAACATTCTTTAGTGGGGTCTCCACAGACCGCAGGTCTTCACCCCATACCAAAGAATGAGGAATCTGGGGTATGTTAACTGCAAATCTCAAGACACAGAAAGACGCATGCAGCGTGTTGCTGCTGATCCAAGAAAGAGCAAAACATCAGTGTATTTTTGCACATATCCTAGGTCAAAAATGGAAACAATCTTAGAGATAAAATGTAGTTATCTTTGGGGAGAGGGAATTCTGGCTAGAGGGGCAGGGATGAAAGCTAGATTTCAGGGAAGATGTATTGTTTGATCTTCTAACCCGTGAAATGTTTCTATAACAAAATAGCTGCACAATTAAGTGTTTATAACTACATTTATATAAATAGGAAACCCAATGAAAGAAATTAAACTCATCCAGATGTTGGCCTGATCAAACAGAAGCCATGTTAAAATTTTAAAAGTTATCATTACTATGGGGGCACGTGGCAAACCTACCCAGGTGCCCCGGCCGGTCCTAGGCCTCGTTCCTCATCCCCACTTCTGCGGTGCTGCTAGGACTGAAGAGCGCTGGTTCTTGGCGTGCGCAGCTCACACCACAAAGCCTGAGAACACATGGCAAGGACTTCAGGCTGCTGCCCTCTTGCTATAATGGCCCTGCTGCCTGCTGCGCTGAGGTGGGGAGGCCACAGCAGGGCCGGGTGGACGAGGGCTTCCGCTCCTGGAGGCCTGAGCACCACTCTCAGTGGTTCCTGTTATGGGCTGGGGTTCATGAGGATGGTTCCTGCTCTAATCTTCTCTTATCTCAACTGAAGGGTGAGCTCACACATTACTTTTGGTTTCTGTGAAGCAACAGAGGGCAGAAGGGCAGCCTGCTGTGTGAGAGAAGAGGGACAGGGCTCAGATTCAGGAAGGGATCAACACCCCTCACACTTAAACAGGAATAAAGAGATCAGGGAGGCCTGCGATTTGGGGCGACCCCCACATATACACGTGCCCACAGAGTCCAGCCACAGGCGGGTGACAGGAGCAGCCCCTGCCCACCACTGATCATGAAGGACAGGGAACGGGCGCAGGGAAGCTGCTGCCAGGTGACCCTCGGGGGGTTTGCACATCAGAGTCCTGTGTCTCAGCTCAGCATTTCTGTCTCACTGTCTTTGAGAATTTTGGTCTGGCTGGGTCAGGAACCGCGGGCCATGGCTCAGCAGCACCTTCAGAGTGGAGCATGGAAAGAGAGTGGGACCGTGAGCTCGGGGCCCAGGCCTCTGTCTCTGCCCCACGCTCCCCTGTGCGCGATGGCAGGGCAGGCGACACGCCGGGCAACAGGGGCAGCTAAGTGCAGCGTGGGCCACGCCGGGCACACTGGCTGGGGACAAGGCGATGTCTTCCCAGGTGGGGTAGAGTTCACAGCAGGGCTTGTTGGTCCCCGGAGCAGGGCCAGGCATCCAGGCTGCTCCGTGCCGTCCTCTTGGGGCCTCCCTTTCTCCACATTCCCCGTGGCTCCTAGTTGTCCCCTGGGCTCCTCCGGGATCACAGAGCTCCTCTTCTTGCCTCCTTGCCCTGTCGGTTTCCAGCTGTCGGGATCCCAGGGCCCGTGGAGGCCGCGCTGTGCTGCTGGATCCCACTGTGCTGCCGGCTTCCGGGACGCAGGGTGGACGCGTCCTGCACGGATCCCCCGGGGAGCACGGCGCTCTGCCAGCGTCCTGTTTTCCGTCTTCTGCTTCTCCTCTCTTCCCACTCCCCGCCTTACTTTGTCATTAAGTAAGGGCATTTTGACTCCATTTTTTTCCGTCGTGGGCTTCCTAGCTGTCTTTCTGAATTTTAATGACTAGAGTTTACAGTGTGCTCCTTTCACGTGACATAACACCCCTGGCCATCCGGCAATGCGACACAGCTGTGTTTGGGATCCTAGATTCAGAACGGGCCGCAGCTCCAAGAAGAACCACCCACTGAATGCAGGGTGGTGGTTGGGGGAAGCTGAGTCCTGCAGAGGGGAAGGGACAGGGAGGTGTTGTGGGTGTCACGGCCAGAGATTTCACCGATCTTGACCCGCACCGAGACCCCCCGGGGGCCCTGGTCACCAAGGCTCTGCGGCTGTCAGGCTGAGGAAGGCGTCACAAGCTGGGAGGTCCGGGGTCGGCACCCGCGGGAGAGGCTGTGGAGCTCCGTGCCCCCCAGTCCCCGCCCTTGTGAGCCCTCCGCATCACAGCACAGGGGGAGGACAGCAGCCTCCTGCTCTCCGGGAGTTCCTCCAGCGCACGAGGGAATGTGAGCTCCTTGCGGATTTTCCTCTTCTGACCTAGAGTCTCAGGAACGGCTGAGTGTCCACGCTGAGCTAAGGGACACACTCCTAACCCTGGAAACCCCGAGGCTTTCTGCAGCGCTGTGCCTGGACCGAGGCCACAGCCCACACTCGAGTCTGTTCTGCCTCCCTGCCAGAGTCTGGTCTGTGAGCGCTCACGGGGGCCCCGAGTGGCGTCAGCCCAGGACAGAGCTCGAGCCCCGTAAGTCCTGCTTCACAGCCTGTCTGGCCTGAAGCTGGAGTCTGGTAAGGGCGACCTCTCCCGTACTGGGAAAGCCCTGGCCTGCCCCCCTGCGTCCTCCTCGTATCGGTCACCATCAGGTCCGTCTCCCCGAAACGTGAGAAACCGCGACCACAGGGCCTTTCACTTTCACTGCCCAGCACTGGCTCGATTCTGGGAAGAGAGGCTTCCAGAGCTGCAGTTTCGCTTTCCTGTTCCTGGACTTTCTGTGCCCTGCACTTTGGGCCCCTCCCTTCCCTGCTGTTGCCCACATTCCTGCGTGAGGAGGGCAGAAGCCAGAGATGATTTAAGTCCTCAGAGCTCCTCAGAGCCCTTCAGCTCTTTATGGGGAAGGTCAGCACAGTTTCCCTCTGTGCTGGCCCCCGAGCCCGGCCCTGCACTGCCCGGGACGGCAGGTGCGGGCCGAAGGTGTTTCCTGTGCCCGGCTTCTCACAGCCAGCAATTCAGCTCTTCTAGCGGAACCTCAGGAGCTCAACTGTGACATTTTCTCCTAGGAACTGGTGAGTGAGAATATATTCTGGAATTAATAGAGACCTAAGAATAGACAAATCACTTGGTCATAGGGAAAAGAAACTAGACACTTAGTTTGAGCTGTGAGGGGTTTACGAGCTGAGGCGGGGGTGGTGCATGCACAGCTATGACCCATTCAGCAGTGTAGGCATCCGGACACTTTCAGACATCGGCACAGATGGACTTTCCCCCCGCACTGCTGAAGGATCCACTGAAAGACAGCAGGGTCAGTGGACAGGGCCCTTCACCGAGAGCTGACATCACACATCCCTGACTGCACATCTGAATTCTCAGGCAGAACACAGGGCTGTCATCGAACCAGAGATGCTGAGGGCCCGTGTGCCCTGTTCTGAGCCCTGTGTGCACCCCTCCCCACAAACCCCGGCTTTGGCCTTTGCCTGTCCCAAAAGAGCTCTGCACTTTGGCGGGGGTTCACCTTGGATCCCAGCCCTGATCTTAGTTTCCTAAGGACTGGATCACAGCTCCCAAGCGATCAGTGTCCTTTATCCTGCATTTCAGTGTGAGAACCATTACAATGGTCTTGCAGAGCTAAGAGGGTGCGATGGGGATTTGCGTGTTGATATTCATCTGAGGTCCTTATAGACACCGCTCACACTCCCTCCTGTCTCTCCTGCTCACACTGCGTGAGCGCACTCTGAACGGCTCTGGGATGAGGGTACGGGCATCTGGGAAAGTGCTCTGCCGCCGCTACCACAAATTAATTGTTGAGAAGAAAGTGACGTTTCACAGAATGCACTTAAACCGTGAGGTGATGTACGGGATTAGACAGCACGGGCTCGGTGCAGTTCCTGAGTGCACAGAACTTGGAGGTCCCCGTCTGTCCTCTCCCGTTCCTGTCGCCGGTCCCCAATTCCTTATCTGCTCAGGTCCTCAGCACCAGTCTCAGCAGACATGGCCACGCCCTCTGAGCTCTCCTCCGCCCTGACACCCTCTGCAAATGCCCGGAGCCAAGTCAGAATGTGTTGCAGCTGGGGTCCAGGTCTCTTTGATTTCCTGATTGGGTGCGGCTGTCCATTTCTCAGGCTTACTGATTCTGTACTTAAAAAGACCTTGTTTCCCAAAGGAGGTCCCAAGAGGCTGCTTTCTGCACAGCAAGGAGATGCCCCTTCAGCTGCCAGTGACCGAGGTTTTACCTCTCATTTATGTGAAGAAAAGTCCTACAGTGCCTGGCACCGACACCATGGCCTTTAGTGGCCAGTGGTTCCCTTACCCACCCGGTGACATGCAGGCCTTCTTCATGCTCCTTCCCATGGAAAAAGCTTGCATCCCTTGTCGCTACACCGAACCAGATCTTGCATACCTGCTCAGAAAAGGTATTTTTCAAACTGTTCTTGCTATCCTCTGTCCCTCTGGGCTGCAGCAGGTGATTTCCAGGAGGCCTCTGAAGGAGGGAGCTGATCCCACACTGTTGTGAAGGGAATGCTTCAGCCTGTCTTCTGCCTGGGTGTGTTCTTGATTCTTGCTATAAAACATGTAACTACATCTCTATGAGGTTAAGGGTAGAGGTATTCCATAGCATTCTTTATAGTTTGTCCTGGGATTATGGTTCCTTTTCTGCCTAGACTGCAGGGATAAGTCTTCTGTTGTCAAAGAGGTGGAGGTATTGAGGACTCCAGAACCGGGTACATCCCACTGCTCACATCCGAAAGGTAACAGAGGGACCTCTTTGGTCTGCCTCACCTCACAGAAACCCCCTTCTGCCACTCCTGCAGGCTTTGTGCACCTCTTGTGTTCTCCTCACGACTCTCTCTGCCTGATCAGTTCCCCAGTGGCTTCTCTCCCTGCCTGGCTGTTGGCCCCTTTACTGCACAAGCTGCAGTCTGCTCAGGAGTGGGCTCCCAGGACAGGTGGGCCGGTCCTTGCATGACCCAAGTGCATAATCCAGCATGTTCTCCTTCTTCTTTGTATTATTTTATGCTTTAAGCAGTTTCAGTTTCAGAGAGAAGAGAAAGAAAATCCCTATATGCGCTCTCCCTACATATGCACAGTCTGTCCACTATCCGCACCCTCCACCAGAGCGGTGCATTTGGGGCAACAGAGGAGCCCGCGTGACACGCCGTAATCACCTAAAATCAGTCATTTAGAGTTGGCTCTTGTGTGGTACACTTAAGGGTTGGGCAAGTGTGTAATGCCTCGTGTGCAGACTGATCGCGTCATTGCAAGTATTCCCACCCCCCAAAACATCTTCTGTGTTGTGCATTTTCATCACTCCTAATCCCTGACAAACACGGATATTTCAAGTATTTTCCATTACTTTGATTTATCCTAAATTTCATGGAATTAGAACCAGATAGCAGGTAGTCTCCTGACTTCTTTCATTTACTAATGTGCATTAGAGGTTTTCTTTCCTTCAAGTCTTCTCTTGGAGTACTGACTCATTCCTTTTTAATCACTGAGTAATATTCTATTCTCCAGAGGCATGACAATTTGTTAAGCCATTTACCTACTGTATAACAGCCTTGTTGCTTTTAAGGTTTGGTATTCTGCAAAAAGCTTCTAGGAACATCAATGTACATGTTTTTATGTGAACAAAAGTTCTCAACTATTTAGTGTAAATATACAGGGTCTCAATACTAAGTATATTTCCTTCTTTAAAAAACTGCCAAACTCTTCCAAAAGGATTGCCATTTTGAATTCCCACCTGGGGTGGAGAACCATCCCGCTGTCCCACATCTTGGCCAGCATGGGTTGTGGTCAGAGTTCAGACTGGTGCTGCTCCTGCTGCTGTGTAGTGATCTCTCATCACTATTCTCATTTGTGTTTCTCTCGCGGCATATGGGGTGGAGTGTATTTTCACGTGTACCTCTGCTCTGGTGAGTGTCTGCTAACATCTTTCTCTGGTTTTTACTCATGTTGTTCCTTTTCTTGTTTTTTCAGTTTTAAAGATCTTTGTGTGTTCTGTGTGATAGTCCTTTATCGGATGAGTGTTTGTAATTTGAAGACTGAGCCCAGAGCCCTTGCACTCAGCTACCTGCCCGGTTCTTTTTAATGTTTTTGAGACAGGACCTTGCTGAATTTCCCAGGCTGAGCTTCTACTTGTGATCTTTCTGCTTTAGCCTCCCCTGCCAACCCCGCACGCCTATGCTACAGTTAGAGGCACATGGTACCATACCCAGCTCTTTCACAATTATGTTTTTGCCAGTCAGTGGATTTGTCCTTGTATGCTCTTGATATTGTCTTCCATAATTTTTTAAAATTTTAACAACTCCACATTACCAATTATATCTTCCATGGATGGATTTCTGTTGTACGGAAAAATCGTCTCCATACCCCAGGTCATAGGGTTTCACCGTTGTTTTCTCCTTTCATTCTATGTTCAAGTCTACACCACACCTTACTTTTTGTGAATGGTGTACGTGTGGCTGTCTGGTTGTTCAGGCATTTCTCCCGAAACACGTCTTTGCTTCATTCTTGGCCATCACACCTTAGACTAAGATCGGTGGAGTACACTGAAGGACGTCCATTTCTGCACTCCACTCGGCTGCACTGGTCTGTCTGCCTACTCTTTCATGAGCATTGCACGTCCTGATGAGCACAGCTGTAGTTTGTAGCCAGGTGTTGGTGTCACACTCCGGTGTGAAGTGTTTTGGTGCTGGTTCTAATCCTGCCCTTGGAGATGGGCGGCCACATTCAAACATTATTTTCCTAACACAGAAATAACAAAGCAATCTGAGCAAAGGGGAAGGGCCACACATGTTTCAGTGGAAAATCAGATTAGAAATCAATGAAGAGTCTTCTAAAGGGGCAGGGAAGTCCAAGGCAAGGCAAGGGGCTGGGGAAGGGGCAACTCTGCACCAAGCCTGGACTCCTGGGGGCGCCCATGAGAAACTTTCCCGGTTACAGTGTGGGACCTGCACTGGGGTGCTGCAGGATCCTGACAGGAAATCGAGGCCTTTCCTGCTGTGCTAACCTGGACCTTGCCTGTGTTCTTCTTCTAGAGTCCCCGACTGCTCACAGCCATGGGTCAGTGGTTCTCCACAGACGCCAACACAGAGAGTGCTAACTTGGCCTCCAGCGTCAACCAGTATTTAAAAAATTTCAAGTTGGAAAGTAGAATCCTCTCTGAGGAAACCAGGGTGCTGATTCAGTATTTTCTGGAGAAAGGGGATGTTCCAAAAGCAATTTCTATAGTTAATTCTGTATTCAAAGTCATCGAGAACGCTCCCCTGAGCATTGCCGTGACCGGGGAGAGTGGAGCCGGAAAATCCACTCTGATCAATGCCCTGCGGGGCATGGGGCATGAAGAGGAAGGTTCGGCTGCCACTGGGGCAGTGGAGACCACCATGGAGAGAACTGAGTACAAGCACCCGAAGTTTCCCAATGTGTCGATATGGGACCTGCCCGGCATTGGGACCACCAATTTCCCTCCCGAAAAATATCTGAGGGAAGTAAAGTTTGCTGAGTATGACTTTTTCCTGCTCGTCTCTGCCGCCCGCTTCAAATACAGTGACGCAGAATTGGCCAAAGCCATTGCCAAAATGAAGAAGAACTTTTATTTTGTGCGAACAAAAATTGATATGGATTTAGCCAGTGAGGAAAAAGCTAAACCTACAACCTTCAGAAAGGATGTCATCCTGGGAAAGATGTCAGATGACTGTGTGAAAAACCTGCAGGGAGCCCAAGTGACAGCCAGTGAAATATTCTTAGTCTCCAGCCTGGATAGGTCTGACTATGACTTCCCTAAGTTGGAGACCACGCTGCTGAGGGACCTGCCCGCTCACAAGCGTCACATCTTCATGCAGTGCCTGCCCAGTGTCACCGAGGCTGCCATTGATCGGAAGAGAGATGCCCTGAAGCAGATGATGTTCCTGGATGCCCTGAAGCGTGGAGCAACAGCCACCATCCCCTTCACGGGTCACGTCACTGACAAGGACATAGAGAAGCTGGAGGAGATCTTAACCCAGTACAGGTCTGACTTTGGGCTGGATGATGCCTCGCTAGAAAACGTGGCCAAGGATTTGCACGTGTCCGTGCAGGACCTCAAGGCAAACCTTCAGTCTCCCCGCTTGCTGTCAGCCGACAGCCACGAATCCTTAGTGGAAAACTTGAAGGAGGGTATGGAGGCCATTTCTTCAGTCACTGGAGAATTTATTGCCGCTGGCCTTTACTTTACAATGGTCTTTTATTTGCAGTATTATTTCCTTGACACTGTGGCAAGTGATGCGAAAGCTCTCCTTAACAAAGAAGATCTTTTTCATGCCTCTGGCAGCTATGATTAAGGCTAGAAAATAGGGAAACTGAGGCAGCTGGCCTCTGCCTTAACCCCACTGCTCCCATGGCCCTGGGCGCAGGGAAGGTGGCTTAGGGTTTCCTGAGGCAGCTGGGCCAGGCTGTGATGCAAGCAGATGTGACCACTATTGGGTCTACAAAGCAATAAAGTACAGTAATCTGAAATCTCATACCAAGAGGACAGAACATCTCACTGCCTGCTGCTTCCTTCCCATCCTGGACTCCTCTTAGTGAAGACACAACAGTCAAAAATTGCTGGCACATTAGCAAGACTTGCAAAAATATCTCTGAATGTATGCTTACACAGCATGTTTTTAGAGTTCCTGGCATTCTGCTACAAATGTACATGTCCTGGTCATCAACAGGACAATTAATTTTGACTGATGTGCTTCTTATTTGCTTTAGGTTATCATTTTCTTAGGTAAACATGAAAGATAATGAAGTAAAAATTGTGCAACAGATCAGGAAAGAAAAATGCCACTTGAGTCAGACTTTCATCCGGGAGCCTCAAGCGAGGGCTAGGGAACAAGGTGAGAATGCCATGCAAGGGGTGCGTGCTGCTGGCTTAGGTGCTCCTGGGTTGTTAACATGGCATGTTTTTTGACAGAACATGAGAGACGAAGGAATAAGAGAAAAAAAGATAATACTAAAAGTGCACTGAAAATAAAAAGAACTAAAGTTCCTTAGATATATGAAAACATGCCTAAATTTTCATATAATAAATGAAATTATAGTAGAAACAATCTACCTGAGATAGCATTTCTCACCTATAGTGTGGCAGAAAAATTAAAAAACTTAAAAAATTAGCGTGTAGCTTAACACCATACTCAGACAAGATGTGCTCCTCTGGCCTGCCCCACAGCTAGACCACAAACCCAATCAGCCTAGACTGACCGCATCCAGCTGCTTTCCACAGATAGTCTGGTCCTTGTCAACTTGTCCCAGGCCAGCAGCAGTGCTTCGGTTTTCCCACCTAAAAACATATCCAGTTTTGCTAACCTGTTCCAAGGACTCTCTAGCCTAGTCAAGGACAAGGACATAAGTGATTTCACTTACCTGCTCTCTCCAACTCCCTCCCAAGATTTGCCCACCTTATAATCATCGATCTGTCCAACTGAATCTGCCCAGTCTGCCTAATGACATATGACACAGTCTAAAACTGATTCCCTATCCGCTTTTGTACTTCCTGCTTGCAAACCCTATATAACCAACGCTGGCTTGGGGCTCATGATTCAGAGAGCATCTTCCCACCAGCCCACCGACCTGCCTACGTAATAAATGGTTTGCCATCCAACTCCTTGGTGGGGAGCATCTTCATTTCAGTTCAGTACCAGTTCTACAATAATCGTATCTGAAAAAATTGCAAACTCTAATTTATGGGTAAAACTGTAGAAAATGATTTCTTGCATATAAAGATGCTGACAATAGAAAAATGATACAACCTATACTGTAGGGTATTGGGCAATGCCTATGAAAATTACACATATATTTGTAAAAGTAGAGGGCTCCTTTGGATCATATTTCATTATTAAGGTCCTTAGCACATGAATGAGGGTTTCCTGAAAAGCCTCTACAGAGCTGACATTTTCTATTCCAGATCGATCTGCAGATACCAGGATAACTGCTGTAAGCAAACTCATCTCCTCATCGCTTGGCTGGAGAGCATTTAGCTTCTCACTAAAGTGAAACATGGGGTTTAGCAGGTGCCCTGCTCCCATTTGGTGTAAGTCATCCACTCAAAAAGGTGATAGGACACGCCTTTGTGTCAAATAAGGATGCACACTATACCATCACAACCTCAAAAGTCCGAGCCTTTGAAAGGTCGACCTGGTCGTTCTGACAGAAGTTCCTGAGCCCAGAATAAACTTTGCAATTTCACCACTTCTTTCACTGCTGCTGTGAGACTCATCAAAAGTTCTTCCCAGATTTCCCACCCCGATTTATGTGGATCCACATATGGAGACTTACTCGTTGGACAAACCAGACACACCCTCCCTCCACTGCTGCACATGTAACTATTCTTATTCTCAGTCTGAGAATATCCATCAGAGTATGGGATTGGCACTCCATCCCAAGCTCTCTGAGTGTAAGCATTGGAGAAGTCCATACAGCGTCCATTTGCGATACAAATATGTGCCCCCTGGGGCAACGCCTTATGTTCCTCCCTTTGTACTATCCGTTGACACTGAGGTGCTGCCGGCTCTCACAGGGGAAAGGCTGCTCAGCCCGTGACCGTGATGGCCGTGATTTAAATTCTGTTGCTCCATGTTCTGGGCAATCTGCTCTCCCCTCTGGGGCTGCGTGCTCCCTGCTGAGTTTCGTGCTGCTCTCGATTACTCATAAAGGAGCCCTTGTGCGCTCTGGTCACCATGCCAATCACTTCTCCCTTTGCAAAGTCAGGGGAGGAAGGAGACCAGCCTTGGATGTGTTCTTGCTCCAGCTGGGGTCTGGGTCCCAGGTGCTCCTGGGCAGGTGCTATGGAAAACAAGATACCTGACTTTTATAGACCCATAAGTAACAAAATGTGCACTCCAGAGAGAAGGAGAAAGTTTTATTTGGCTAGCCTGGCTCAGAGAAGCCTGTGCTTTGTAACTTCTGAGCCTCAGAAATAGTGTTACAAAGATTTTTTTATAGTTTGTGGCAGGAGAAACTAGCTCAAAGAAAGTTATTCAAAAACTGCAGGTTTGTAGCGTTAGTCATCTGGTCTACCTCTGTCAGGTAGGAGATGTAACCTAAGAGGAGGGGCCTGGGGACAGGCGCCACAAGTTAGGGAGTGGAGCGTGATATGGGAGGGGGAGCAGAGGAGGGGGGATTTAGAGACCTGTGAACTCCATTAGCATATCCAAGTGAAGCTCAAGATGGAGGAGCTGGAATGTGCTCACTGAGGGCAAAAGGACTGCTGTCCAGCCAGGCAGAAGATAGCCCTTTCAAGAGACCAGTTTCTTCTTCAGTGAGGCTGTCGGTTCCACAGCGCCCGCTGGAAGGGGCCGAGCGGCCTGCCTCACCTGGGACGGAGGCAGCAGTGGGGGGCAGTGGTCTGGGTGCCCTCCCCGAGGGCCTGCAGGAGAGGCTGAGTGACCCGGAGCCAGGCACACGAGATTACACGTGTATTTGACCCAGTGATTCCACTTGTAGAGCACTACACCATCAACTTGGAGAAGTTAAACAAAAAACAAAGTATATGCTGAAAAGTGCTGAAATGGGAAGACTGTGAACAGCTCCAATGCTCCTTACTAGGGTTCACCCACAAAAGAGAAGCCTTCACACCCAAGCCAGTGAATGGGGTGACCCTGCAATGTCACCTCAAGAATACACTCAGTGCAAAAGAGAAGGTGTAGAAACATGTATAAAATAAGTTACACTAGGTCCAAGAAAGTCCAAAACACAAGCACATTTTTGTACATATCTTAGACTGAAGAGCTAAAACAACTAATAAATAAGTAATTATCTTCAGGGAAGATCTGGTTCTGGGTTGAGGAGCAGGGGTACAATCAGGATTTCATTAATTACATATTATTTCATCTTACCCACGAAAATGTTTATATAGCTCAAGTTTAAATAATTAAAATTTAAGACTACATTTAAGCAAACACAAAATAAAATCTAACAAAACAGCCTCCTGTTTGGCATAATCAAACACAAGACATTGCAAGATATTAAAATATACTATTTGAAAGTAAATTGCTGGTGAAATGCATCACATGGGCGGGAAGAAACTAAAGATATCTTTTGCTTTTTTCAGTAGCAGTGTTGATAATAACAAAGGTACTTGCAGTGTTGTGGTTTCTCGGGGAAGGTAACGCACTGTCCCACTACCATGAAGCAAACACATCAATTACGTTAATGTCACTAGAGAACAAGACTTTCCTAACAAACTAGACATTGATGTAAACGACAACAGAGTGAGAATCTTATTGGAAATAAGAAGTAGAAGTTGGTGATATTTTATTTTAGAAAGAGCAAGTTTTTAACTCTGTGAAGGGTTAGTACAGGCCTGTGGTAATGAACACTCCAGGAACAAGGAACACTCCCATTGCGGGGACTGTGGCCTCAGAACGGAGCTCCACCACCATTGTCTGGAGCAGATTTGGACCAGGGCCTCTCAGTCTGCTGCAGCGAGCATCAAGGTAAGACTGAATTACACGGTCACAACACAGCAGAGCTGTCAGACAGTGCCATGTTTCTCTCAAGGGGCTCAGCAGACAACCTGAGAAAGTTACTGCTGGAAAAAAGGTAGACTAATTTGAGAATCCATGTGTATGACAAGGCAGTAAATTGAAATACGTCAAACTTGTCTCAATCAATAAGGTCGAAGTGCAATGAGAATACACGCATTTGTGAACTCTGCAGTATGCTAAGGAGCACACTCTTTATGTTGAAACCTGCTATACAAAGAGGTGACTCGATGTTCATACTGCTTTTTATGTGGGAGAACTGAGCTTCCCTTTCCCATATGAATTGCATAGTAACTGTTGATGAGAACATTCTCTGGTATCAATTTTCCACCAAGAAATGCAATCAGAATATTAACATTTTACAAGGCTTAAAGAAGTATGGCCCATGGCCAAGCTCACCAGATTATATATTTTTGGATGTAAATTATATTTCAGTAAAATTGGGGCAGCCAGACATGCTGGCACATACCTGTATTGCAAGTATTCTGTGAGGCTGAGGCAGGAGACTAGCAACTTTGAGCCCTGCCTGGGCAACTTAATGACTTAGGAAAACACTGTCTGAGAGTAAAAACATATAGTTTAGTGGGAGTGCTCCCTTTTTGCAAAAGGAAAAAAAGAAAAAAAATAGTGAATCTAGGTCATGAGCATCCCTGATTGCTAGCAAATGGAGCCATGAGCAGGTAATACTTACCTACCTCCCAGCTGAACTACAGAAACATCAGTAAGAAGTTTTCTTGCTTGACACCCAGAGATCCCCAAAAGGTTCAGGAAGTACTGAGAGCAAAGGACCATATTAAATGAGGTCAATTTCCAGTAGGTTTTCTTTAATAACTTTCAAGGAAAAGAACAAAAGCAGAGGTGATAGGGGACTTGTGAATCAAAAGGGAACTCAGAGGATTAGCAACTAACAGGAATGTGTGGACTTTCTGTAGCACCTGATTCAAATACTAAAAATCTTGATTAGAAAACTATAGAAATTCAAACACTGTGAACTTTCTGATGCAATTGAATAACTGTCAGTTTTTATGCATGACAATTGCATTGTTTTAAAATACATAAAAAGTGTCATTTTATGTTGCTTAAAATATTTAAGGCTGACATAAAGTGTAAAATTTTCATTAAAAATTCTGGTGGGGAATATACACAGATGGAACAAATCCGCTATGTGTTGATAATTATTTATCTGAGGGTATAGCTATAGTAACACTGTCTCCTTCAAACTTTCCACTGAGAGGCTAGATACATGGATTGTTAAGACCCAGAGAGCAGAATTTTAAACTCCAGAAATGACACTATGGGGAAAGCCAGTGCAGCACGCCTCCGTTATATAAGAAAGTCCTGTTCAGAGTGCACACATGCGTTTATTCTGCTTTTGACACAATCCCCTGGAATGCCAGCCTCAAGGAGAGCGGAGCCCGACCGTCCGGTAAACGTCATGTCCCTCACAGTGTGGCTTTCCTCCTCGCGGCTTTGCTGCCTGCACCTAGCGGACAGTGCCGCTCACGCTGGGTTCTCAGTGCCACGGAAGCCGCTCGGCTCACTCACGCTGACCCCAATAGCCATGCCCCAAATATCTCATTTCCGAAATCCTCACCCCCCCTCCTTCACTGGGAGCTTTACCCATGCTCCCTTCCGATTGCAGGCCCGTGGGCATCGGCACAGGGAGGGACCCCTCCAGGACTCAGGTCCTCTTGGGCAGGAGTGAGGGCGAGAAGCCAAAGCGGCCTCCAGCCCACGTCCTGGCAGCGTGAAGCCCCTGGTTAAAGCTGCGTGGAGCTGTGAGCCGTCCCCACCCAGCTGCGGTCTCCCTTCCAAGCCAGAGCAGTGCCGGGCACCACTGCAGGGTCCAGTCGGCCTCTGTGGGGGCCGCTCCTTGTCACCACCCAGGCATGAGTCTTGCTTTGCAGCTGTCCCGCCGCGCTGCCCCTGCCTACCTCCCCAGGTGCCACGGCAGCCATGGGGCTGCTGCCTCACCTCAAGCGGGGGCCTTCCCAGGGGTTCTCAATTGAGTGTCCTATTTTTGTCAGTACAAGTTCACAGAACACAATGAGCACATTCAGCTTGGAGCGTGGGCACATGTACGTGACACCTGAAATCCTTTTACCTCGCTGGCTTTGAA